AACAACACACACACCCCTTTTGTTTTGGAGCGGTGCCATAAAATTATGTATCAATGGAAAGACAATTTAATCAAGAATGCAATGCAACAAAGTTGTTCAATTATCTGTATACTATGAAAAGGTATAGCCAAAGAACCCAGAAAAAGGAAGCACAACTTGCTTAGGTTGATCTCAGGTAGCTTTCCTTCCTCTGATCGTCGCCAATGAGCACCAGTGTTTAGAGAGCCAATCGGGTGTCCTCTTGTTTTGGCCATGAGCCAACCAGATCACAGTAGGATCCGGTTATTGATCTCGTGTATTGAAGCCGAGAGGAGGACATTTGTCAGTGCGTTATGGATTATCGCTATCCAGTTGGTGGGGTTTTTTTGTGTTCTTTCATTGAGGGAGCTTGTAAAACGTGATAAAATTAAAGTCATGGTGCAAAGAGTTGATTGGTCGCTCAGAAAGCGGTGTAAAATAGTATTTATGAGGTGAACAAGGCTGCAGTTATAAAGGAATTAGAAGAAAAACGGGTGGAAACTTAACCAAAGGTGGCATTTCTACTGTACATTTTTCCCAAAAGGTTTCCACCATTTGGGCCACTACTGCACTGGTCATGCCACAGACATGGAAGAGGCCTGGAGGACGGCCCACGGCTCTGGATGGTTCCCTTCCCGGCACTAAACCGTCACGGGGTTTGGTTTAGTTCAGGCTGTCGGTCTGGGGAAGATTCCTGCATTACAGGCAGAAGGTAATAAAGTAGTGATTTTGTGATCTTCTTCAGTTCTTTCTCGTGTCTTCTGCTGTCTCCAGGCACTGCCACGTCCACTATCCAGACTTTTTTTTGTCTTTCTTATCTACAATTGTTAAGTCCGGGGTGTTATGTGGCAGATGCTTGTCTGTTTGAATTCTGAAGTCCCAGAGCAGTTTAACTTTATCATTTTCTATTATTATTATTATTATTATTATTATGGATCATCGCACAGTCAGCCAGATGTTCAGACTGGATTTGGCATTTTGTCTACCTATCGAGTCCTTACCCAGGACCTGGGATAGGCAGATGTGGATGTTTGATGGTATTACAGATATCGTCTTAACAATTGTCAATAAGAAAGACAAAAAAGTCTGGATAGTGGACGTGGCAGTGCCTGGAGACAGCAGAAGAGACGAGAAAGAACTGGAGAAGATCACAAAATACAAAGACCTACAAATAGAAATAGAAAGACTGTGGCAAAGGCAAGCAAGGGTAGTACCAATAGTCATAGGCGCCTTGGGTGCAATCCCAAAACAACTGGAGCACCACTTGGACACCATCGGCATTGACAAGTTCACCATTAGTCAATTGCAAAAGATGGCCTTACTAGGAACTGCTTCCATCCTGCGACGATATCTGTAATACCATCAAACATCCACATCTGCCTATCCCAGGTTGTTGTTGTTGTTGTTGTTATTATTATTATTATTAAACCAAAGACCCCACAATTCAACCTGAGCTACAAATATCCCTTTTCTAGAGACGATTACGATCACGATTGATCCCTTTGTTCCTTGCATGCACACTGACAGCTTACGCACCAGGGACAAATTCCTTGTGTGTGTGTCCTGTCACGCTTGGCCAATAAAGAATTCCGGGAAACCCTCCAGAATTATCTAGCGACGGACACCGAAAGTTTGGAAAAAAAAAAACCTGTTCTTTCTCGACAGTTGAGGACAGTGCACCTGCCTTTCCCCCTTTTTAATTAGTAAGTTGCCCTCTCCTTCGCGGTCGGAGAAGGCCTTCCTGCGTCTCCCGCCCCGGGCGGGACGAGCTTAACCTCACCTTTTTTCTTCTTCCGTCCGGGCCGACCCCGCCTGAGTTTCTTGACCCGTCCCGAACTGTCCGAACGCACGGAAGAACTGTGAACGCTCGAGTTATCCAGGTCGGATTCTTCTTCCGGGTCCGCCACCTCGTCGCTCTGAAACAAATGCTGTACATAACCGGAGCGGCCCTCCATTAGGAAAAAGCCACAAAGAGGCAAGAGATGAAGAGGAACGGTGGTGGGAAAGGAAAGAGGGATGGAGGGGGTGGTGGTACCCCGACTTTGGAGCTACGCCCCCAAAGCAAGCAGAAAGACGCAAGAAGGAGCTTTCCGCCCGGCCCTGGACCAACGATGGAGTTGAACCAACCCGGTTTAACTACAAGGGGTTGGATCTGAGGGACCGCACGTGGATCACACGGCAAAGGATGAAGGGCAGGAAGAAAGGACGTGGAGATGAGGTTGTAAACGACAAGCATGCATCCCGCAGTCGCAACCATGCAACCTGAATTTGCCGCGCCGGTTCCTCAAAGGGATTTCAGGCTAAGGATATTGCCAAAAGGGTCACTGGCACTGCCAGAGCAAGGGTGTCCAACCTTGACAACTTTATGACTTGTGGACTTTCAAGTCCCAGAATGGAATTCAAAACTCAAAGTCTTCAACTTTACGAATTGTGGACTTCAAGTCCCATATTGAACTCAAAGTCTTCAACTTTAAGACTTTGGACTTCAAGTCCCAGATTGAACTCAAAGTCTTCAACTTTAAGACTTTGGACTTCAAGTCCCAGATTGAACTCAAAGTCTTCAACTTTTAAGAATTGTGGACTTCAAGTCCCAGAATGGAACTCAAAGTCTTCAACTTTTAGGAATTGTGGACTTCAAGACCCAGAATTGAACTCAAAGTCTTCAACTTTTAAGAATTGTGGACTTCAAATCCCAGAATGGAACTCAGTCTTCAACTTTAAGACTTTGGACTTCAAGTCCCAGAATTGAATTCAAAGTCTTCAACTTTAATATTTTGGACTTCAAGTCCCAGAATTGAACTCAAAGTCTTCAACTTTAATATTTTGGACTTCAAGTCCCAGAATTGAACTCAAAGTCTTCAACTTTTAAGAATTGTGGACTTTCAAGTCCCAGAACTGAACTCAAAGTCTTCAACTTTATGACTTGTGGACTTCAAGTCCCAGAATTAAACTCAAAGTCTTCAACTTTAAGAATTGTGGACTTCAAGACCCAGAATGAAACAAAGTCTTCAACTTTTAAGAATTGTGGACTTCAAGACCCAGAATTGAGTTCAAAGTCTTCAACTTTTAAGAATTGTGGACTTCAAGTCCCAGAATTGAACCCAAAGTCTTTAACTTTATGACTTTGGACTTCAAGTCCCAGAATGGAACTCAAAGTCTTCAACTTTAAGACGTTGGACTTCAAATTGAACTCAAAGTCTTCAACTTTAAGACTTTGGACTTCAACTCCCAGAATGGAACTCAGAAAGTCTTCAACTTTAAGACTTGTGGACTTCAACTCCCAGAATTCCCTAGCCAGCTGCGGGGGCGTTGAAGTGCACTGGTCTTGAAGTTGCCAAGGTTGGGGACCCTTGTCTTCAGAGTCACACCCCCTCCCCGTGGCTAGCAGTAGCCAGCACGGCAGCCAAGGATGCCAAGTCAGCTCAATGTGCAGAACAGCGACTAGCTCGTTCTGAGGTGGGCTGGTGGTCTCTTTTGAAAAAGCCACCAAGCTCTTCCACCTTGCTAAATTTGGTCCAGAAATGCCGAAGCCCTCAAGCTCAGCTCGGGGGGGGGGGTGTCGGTTTTCCACATTCACATGCACAGCTGCGAGGGTCTTACAGAGCTGCTCTTTTTCCGCTTCCCGCCGATCATGCCCAGCTTGATCTTCAGAGGCGCCATCTTCTTCCCCTTTATCCTCCTCTTCACCTCCGGGACGCGGGGGCTTTTGCTCCGCTTCTTGTGGCCCGGTCCTTGGGCGGAAGGAGGCGGGTAGGAAGGGGGGGGAAACACAAACAAACATAAAAACCCCCAAAAAAGGACTTCTCAGGTGAACGGTCCACATCGACCCCTGCCCCGTCGTCGTCAGAAAGGGACGGGCGGGTTTCGGGGACGGCTCCGGAGCGGAGGGGCAAAAAGATGGCCTGGGATTCATCTCATCCCAGAGAAAGGCGAGCGTCGTGGCTGCTCTACTCGCTTGCAAAAAAAATCAAAGATGGTGGACGGGGGGACGGGACAAGGGGCCGAGAGGATTCAAAGTTGGCCCCTTCCCGTTCTCCGGGAAGGTGGGAGCCTGCCAGGCTGAAGGGCGGAAAGCTTGAGGATCAGCTAACTCTGGGTTGAGGGCCAACAACTTAGGCCGGTGTTTGCCACCCGTCCCCTTGTAGTAACACCTCTCAACTCTGGCTCAAGTCTTCTGCTTTTAAGCTCAAGACGGGACGGGACGCCCTGGCTCTTGACCCGGAAGTAACTCAACCCTAGAAGAGACACAGGCTCCCCTAAAGAGCTCCTGTTTGTGGGGTCCTTGGTGGTTTCTGAGCTGGGGGGGAGGTCTAACTGGCAGAGGGATTTGTGACCCAATTGAGGATCTTCAGCATGGCTAGATGGGAAGGGGGTTTGCAGAGTGGAGGGAGGAGAGAAGAGAGAAGAAGGGGGAGGAAGGAGGAAGGAGGAAGGAGGAAGGAGGAGGAAGGAAGGAGGAAGGAGGAGGAGGAGGAGGAGGAGGAGGAGGAGGAGGAGGAGGAGAAGAAGAAGAAGAAGAAGAAGAAGAAGAAGAAGAAGAAGAAGAAGAAGAAGAAGAAGAAGAAGAAGAAGAAGAAGAAGAAGAAGAAGAAGGGAGGAGGAGGAGAAGGGAGGAGAAGGAAGAACGAGGAGGAGGAGAAGGA